ACTCTAGCATTCTGCTTCGCTACTCTGAACTACGTGAATGAGGTCAGTCCTGTCAGGTCAGTCTTCGTATCAAAGTCTTCCCTGCGCTATTCAGCACCTTTTGTATGTATGAGAATGCACATTGTCTGTCGAGACTCTACTCGCACTGTATTGTCCATTCAGTCCTTTTCATCACATTGCAGTTCCTCGGTTATTACGTACATTGCATATCTGTGCATGTAACAGTTGATGATTGCTTCCCTAGCCTGGGGGAAGCTAAATGCACAACCACTCCGTTCGTGGGAGCACCTCATTCTCCAGGCTAGGAGGACTGCCAGACGGGTGTAGGAGAATAAGTTTGTTTTAAAGGCATCCCATTGTCGATTTTCGGGAGTGAGTCTATCCAACAGGATTAATGCTGGATCCCACGAAAGGTGCTGCCCTGTGAGGTGGTGCCAAGCCGAATCCCACCAGCGCCACAGCTGGGCAAACATTGGACAAGTCAGCAGACAGTGTTCCAGGGTTGCTCTAGCAGGTTGGGTGGCTCTCCCACAGTAGGAGCAGATTGGTTAAAAAAAAAAAAAAAAAAAAAGGATGCCTCTCTGTTCCAAGTCAGTCCGTGAAACTAGCCAATCGAGTGTGGGCAGGCATCTGTGAATGATCTGCCATTGGAGGGCTCGATGGGCTGTGGGCATTATTTTGCCGGATATAGACCATTCGAGGTCTTGCAGGTCTGCTGCCTGGAGCGATGAGTCTCTCTCCCACCTTTTGATGAGCGTGCTTTGGGTTTGAGGCAGGGTCCGTGTTGCTTTGTACCCTCCTTTGACTGTATACTCCCAAATCTGCATTCCTTTACCTCCCTTCCATTCCCACTCCGCCGGGTCAAAGTGGAGTCTGCTGATCGGTGTAGTAGGCTCATATACCCATCTGCCGTGGTTGCAGTTTTCCAACACTCGGATTCTCATGAGTTGGCAGATTGATGTTTCCGTGTCTCCTTCTTCTGTGTGAATCTCGCACCCGGGAGATCTGGCTCGAAGGCCTGCACGACTGCGGCGGATGATGTGAGGTGGGTGATCTGGTATACTCTCATTGGGGTTGGGAGGTGTTTGTAGAGTACCACCGAATCCCCATTTCTGAGAGAGGGGTCTTGTTTGAGTGCAAGATGCCACCCCAACAGTATTGTGTCGATAAGTAGGTCTCGTTTCAGTTCCAGTTCTTTGATGTTCTTTAGATTGATCTCAATGTTTCTGCAGTTTTCGAGTCACCCTCAGAGTGGTCCCACAGGTCTCCTATGGTATAGACTATTTTTCTAACCCAGGAGAGCCATGGCGAGTTAGAGTGGAGACCAATCATGTGGTCGTCTTTGTCCAAGATCTGTGGATTTCCAAAAACAGGTTGCCTCACCACTCCGTGCCATCTTAGAGGAGTGGCTATTTGAGACGGACCTTTTTCTTCTTCATATGCTGACGAGGGTCAGTGAGGTCTGTTTTCACTTGGTTTGCTGGTGATGTTTCTCTCCTGTGTCTCGGTGGGAAGAGGATAGACCAGGCACTGTTGGTAAGCCATCTTAATGGGTGTAGCTTGGTCTGGGCTCCCTCGTCCGGGGCCAGGCAGGATAGTTGGATGTATGTCAAGGGGGCCCAAGGGATGTCATTACCAAGTAATAATCTGGTAATGAATTTGAAAATTAGAGCGTCTATTTCATCCCCTGGATCTATTATTCCCAACCCCCCTTTCCCCCGTGGTTGAGCAATGTGCTCCCAGGCCACTCGATAGATACATCTAGAATCTGAGTCCATATTTTTCCAGAGGTTAGTAGTTACCGCTCTCCTCAATCTTGCTAGTTGTTTTGGGATCAGTTTCCAAAATGCGGTTTTGTACCAAATAGCCGCAAGAATCGAGTTGTTTATGGCTAGGGCCCTTCGCACAATGGAGGTGTGGAGACCCTTTCATTTCGTGATCCTTCTGAGGGCTATGTCGACAAGGTTATTGCCGTGGTCTCTTGGGGGACCCAGCGCAGTTAGTCTGACCCCCAAAATTTGATGGCCTCTCCTTTCCTCTCTAGTTAACACTGCCAACATGGTAAGGAAGCGGCAATCCTTTTCATAGACTTTGAAAAAGCGTACGACCACATTGACTGGGACTTCATGGATTGTTGCCTACAAAAAATGAATTTCGGGGAATCATTCAGAGCATGGGTATCCATCATGCACAGGTCGGCAGCCATAATGACAGCCAGAAGAAGGCGTTATCTGCAAGCGTGGAATCATCGGGGGACAGCCATGTATTTTTCTCTCACCTCACATATCTTTTTGGAGGGATAGAGAGGTTCCCCGACCACTGGTTTGGCAGTAAATAAAATTAAAACCCTGGTCAAAGAGAAAGGGGACACCGGAGTCTTGGGGTTAGTACTTCCCAAAGACATGTCATTTCCCAAACCTCACCCCCATCTTACTTCTCTTTGACCCAGATCAGAACAACAAGAACAACTCCTTGACTTGGCTTTCACAGGAGCAACTACTGAACACAACAAAGGCAAGGATTAAAACAAACACCACATGGACTGCAACACAAATTCTCAAATTTATCCAAATCATCCTAGAAGAGGACTACCTGGGAGCTCACAACCAATGGGACGATGTACCTTTCCTTCTCCCATTGGAACAGTCCATAAAGCAATAAGCCTGCCGATGGAAGATTCTAACCATAATGCACATAACAGGCCCAGGCCAGCCAGCCCAGGGACACTGGTCACCAAAGAGGACCCC